CCGGAGACCTTTTCCCACATTCTGTCTTTCCCTTCGCGCATTCTCTCTACAAGGTTAGACGAAGTAGTAAGTAACTGGGGGATAAAAACAGCTTTTATGAAAACCACGAGACTTTAATCAGTCATGCTTGCTTTTAAAGAGAAAATTAAATCATTATCCAGATCGGGTTGCTATAAAATAATGTGTTCGTGTGATCGCTTTCAGGTTGAAGCGACTTGTCATCCCATTTTGCATTAGCTAAACACAAAAGCCCCTGTAGAAGCTGTTGAGCTCAAAAATTGGGCTAGCTGAAAACACGGCATAAACTTGACAAGAGATGTAATGATTTCAAACTTTCCGTTTTGCTGATTATTGTATGTCTGCGACTAAGTGCAAAATTAGAGGCCATCGAAATCAACCGACTAGGTAATACAATGAATGCAAGGAATACCAGTAAGAAGTTAAGTAAAAACCAATTATGCTTAGCTAAAAGACTAAAAGATAGAGATGTTGAACCGCATGCAAAATGGAAGAGACCCAACTATTTCTTTCTTGCCTTGGTTCCAATCACGGCCACCTTTCTGCACTTTCAAGTCCGCTCTTTCTTTCTCACGTGAAGACAAAATGCTTATTAACGTAACGAGACGTGTGTCCGACTACACAATCGGAATGACGGTTAAAATATAGAGATAAGTGATAATGGTCATTAGACTTTGATTGCCGAGATCATATGTTAATTTATCTGCTTTAATTTCTTTGAACCATTACTGCTGGTTTCGTACATATAATAACACATGAAGACACACACATGCTTCGAGGTTGACTTATGAGTTAAACTAAGCAAATCACCTTATACCCCACCAAAGAGCTTACATATAGGTTATATATAGAGCATTTAGAGATGATCCGGTGAGTTTTAATTCCTTAGCTTGAATATGGTTGTAAGGATGATAATCTACTCTGATGTCCCTCATACGATGGACAAGAGCTTAGCACGTTTTTACAGGAATCGAGGGAGAACGCTTCAGAAACACAGTCAACAAGAATGTTCCAGTAAAGCCACTTGGCAGCTTGTCAAGAAGAATTTGCCGTCGTCTCCTGCAAAGTATTCTAAAGCATTGCACATGAGTCTTAGAAAACATCGTCAAGTGTACTGTTTTATAATAGAATGGATCAAAAATAATACTTTCAATGAGTAAAGCATGTAAAGTCAAGCCATAGAACAGGTTAAATACCTACTTCTTTAACGCCAAGATCAGGAAAGTGGACACTGATCATAGCTGTTGAATCTATTAGAAGACATATCCTAAACGGAAGACCGCTTTGCTCGTTGGCTGATATGATATCGCCCTGGCGTGAGTCTGAATTTGACTCAATCATGGAAACGATAGACCGTGGAATAAGGCCAAGCTGAGAGAGTTTGGCTAGAATCCAAGTCATGTTGGTGGCAGACCAGATGGCGATGTCGTAGTCGAGGTAAGCCCGCGCCAGAAACTCCATTAAATAAGGCCTCGCCAACTCCCTTGCATGCTCAGCTGGGCTCATATGATCTAAAAAGAGAAGCGAATAAATCCGTGACAATGGGCCATCTTGTTCAAAACAGATATTACTAAATTATGTAAGGTTTCAAAGTCTACGTTTAGTATCCTGAATAATACAAAACCTACCATTGCCATATAAAACTATACAACTCAAAAATAAACTAAAGTTAAACATTGTCTTTGGCGAATCACCTTTATGGACCAGTGGATAAGGAATTTAAGCGCTTTTACGCGGTTATTAAAAGGTTCTAGATGTTTATAGTAATAAAGTGCCTTGACAAACAAAGCATGATTTAAAGAAATTAGGCTCGTCTTGCTTCGTAAATTCAGGACATGAAGGTCGGAAAGTGTTATGAATAGTTAAGTTAAAGAGCACTTGCCAGGATTGAGATAGAGAAAGGTAAATTAGATGGTGACAAATGAAAGACGGAGTATTGCGAGGATACGGATCAAAATTAATACAAATTTAAATGAAATCCTTAGCTTAACAGACTATTCGAAAGGGCATTTAATAAAGAGTGCTATCACACCTGTTCCAGAGGCCATAAAGCGAGAAAAAAACGAAAAGAGCATTCATGACATCACCAGTATAAAACCAAGAAATGAGGGTCAAGTGCGAACACAGCCGAGAACCATAGCAGCAAAAAAGGAAGATGATGTGCGACCGACAAGTCATAACAAATGAATAGCCTAAGTGTTCGTCAACAATATATGTGGAAAACATGATAGGAAAAGGTCCCCATAAGCATATTGTGAAAAATGCGCCGAAATATAAGGTTAGGATTCCAGACTAGAACATCGCAAGGAGTAATTTGTGGTAAATAATGAAATGATTCCAAGCCGAATAATTTGAATTTAGTGAACGAAATGTCAAATAAGAAAGTTGATGAAAAAATCAATAATTATTAAAGGCAATCAGATAAGCAAGCAGTAATTGAGGCATAAAATAATCTACTTATTCGTTTGAAGATAAAAAACGCTCAATAAAGTTTAAGTTT